CTATTGTGATAGATTTCAGGAAAACCCTCTCGAAGCCCATATTACTGCAATAAAGAACATCTTTCAATAATTAAAAAGAATGACTTCTCTTAGAATTTGGTACCCTTCAAGCTTAGGGTTCTTTGTGCAAGCGTTCTCTAATGCTAATCTTGACAGATGCGGTCTCGATCACAAAAGTATAACTGGAGGATGTCAATTTCTAGATGGCAAACTCATAATTTGGCTATCAAAAAAGCAAACATGCATCTCCTTGTCTACCGATGAAGCTGAGTATATCGCAGTTTCATCTTGTACCTCTCAAGTGATATGGATTCAAAGTCAGCTAAGAGATTATGGGATTAATATGAAGAGAACTCCCTTACAATGTGAGTCTGAAAGTGCAATTCGCATCTGCCACAACCCAGTGCAATATTTGAAGACTAAGCATATAGCACTGAGGTATCATTTCAAAAAGGATCATATGGAGTAAGGATGAGAAATTGGGCCGAAAACCCGAACCGAACCGAGAACCGAACCGAACCGAACCGAACCGAATTAGACCCGAATAAGCAATTCGATTCGGTTTTCGGGTATTTATATAAGGCTTATTTGGTTTTCGGGTTATTCGGTCCGGGTTACCCGGATAAGGGCTTATTCGGTCCAAAAAAACCGAACCGAATATGAAGAGTCATTTTTTTCCCTTGGGTGTTGAATTCTTAATGTTTAACTTATATACTTATAGATAGATTTTTGGGCGTTTAATTTCTAGTGTTTAATTTGTTTCTTTAAAAGGTTTGTTATGAAATCATAAGCTACAAAAGTCATAAAAAATACAATATTTATTCAGGTTATTCGACTCCTTAATCATCTTGTATATGTTATTTGGGTTATTCGGGTTATATACTTATGAAATCATAAGCTTCAAAAGTAATACAAAATATTTGGATTATTCAGGTTATTCGGGTTATTCGACTCCTTAATCATCTTGTACATGTTATTTGGGTTATTCGGGCCGGAACCGAACCAAACCGAATAATACCCGAACCGAATTGAACCCGTATTGCTTATTTGGTTCAGTTTTCGGTTCATACAATTACCCTTATTCGGTTTTCTAAATTTATTCGGTTCAGTTCGGTTCGGTTCGGTTCCGACCCGAATAACATCCCTAATATGGAGCATGGCAATGTTGAAATTAACATTGTAAGATATGCTGATCAACTGGCTTATATCTTTATGAAAGCCTTTCCTAAACCATCCTTTAATCAAATCCTACAAGGCTTAGGAATGATAGAAGCAGCAATTGTTCCGTAACCTGCATAGTAATGTAAAGCAGTGTTCCTTCTCCGAACTACTCCGAGCCCTCGGAATGTTTCAGAATTTATACTTCATGCTCTAAATGGTTGCGAGCCCTCGGAACCTATTGTTCAACAATAGATTCAGAAGATCTTGTATCTTTTGTATATTATTTGTTCTCCGATTGATTCCGAGCCTTCGGAACAATTCGGATGCCACTGTTCACTTATGCTTCAGAATTTACTTTGTGTAATTTTCTGTTTTTATTTTCCTTTTCTGAAAATTCAAAATCTACAAAAATATTTTATTTATTTCTATTTTATTCTTTTTAAGAAAAAATTCAAAATTACAGTTTTTTAGTACTACTTTGAGAATAAGTTTCTTATATAGGTACAATTTCTTATTAGTGCAATTCCGAACGATGGGGCTGCTATGAACATTCGAATCTTTGTACTAGCTAAGTGTCCCTACAAGCATGTTGTTGCACATTGACTGAAGCCTTTGAGACTCTATGTTTGAAGCCCTAATGATTCGATATACTAATCGTTTCTTCCCAAATAGGCTATAAATTCACATAAGTCATTGAGCTACCTTACTCTTCTCACAATGAGTTAAGAGTTCACTGCTTGGTTAGTATTATATAGAAGAGGTGCATTATATCATCAAAACCACCTCGAACATTTCTCCATTATTTTCTTCCTTTAATGTAACCCTCAAGACTCTCAAAAATTAGCATTGAGGTACAACTTCCGTATTGATGATATTAAATTCATTATCACCACGAATTGAGTGAAACCTAAAATCCAAAACTAATTTATGAATTAATAGTGAATCATTAAAATGTTCTAGCTTTCACCATGGAATTGACGAATTTCAACCCTTGTGGTTTGTACCTCGGAATCTCATTATTGTATTTTTGTGAGATCTTGATGAAATGTGCTTGACCTAAGACTTTTCTTCCCATAAGAGCCAGTTTTTTTTCTTGAGATTTCTATTTTATATAGCCAATTAAATTAATCAAAAGCCTACTTGTTATTATGGCTACACTAGTCAAACAAGTACTTCTTCCATACTTTCGGACTTCTATTGAGTTTCAGAATTTGGTTGAAGTTGAAACCATCCTTAAGCCTAATGAAAAGAAGCCTTTCACTGTTTCTTAACAAATAGATGATTGTAATTCAACGGGATGCCACACAAGCACTTTCGAGTCTCTCTTGACTCCGAAGGAAGAGGTCGTATCCTGGGATCCACCTGTTTTTAGGTTGATTTATAATTGACATCACAAATTCACAGATGTAATTTTCTTTATTTCTTTATCTTAGGCGCACTCTTGCACAAAAATCCTCGTGAATTTTCAAAAGTCTGGTCCCAAAATTCCAAATAGCAATTTTCAATTCAAAAACAAGATATGGCTACTTGTTCCGAAAAGGTTGTGGAGATTAAGGCTTCATCACGAATGTGCAGAACTAAAATGGCGGTTTTAAACGGATAAGATTTCAATTTGGATGCGTGCATTTTCAAAAACTTCCTGACATCACGCCTATCATTTATGTCGTGTGACACCCATATAGTTCTCATGCCTTTTCAGGCACTTTTTCAGGGAAACGGATCGTTAATAGCCGGATTTTTTTCTCTCTGTGTCTCATGACATATAAAAGGGTAAATTTATGATTGCATTTCTCTCAACAGTTTCAAATCTCTCAAGCGCAAAACCCTCTTTTTCTCTCTGCACTATTTATCATCTTCTCTATCTATTTACATAGCCAATTCATTTGAAACTCCATCTGTCACTAAAGAAACCACTTCCATAATCATGCTTAACATCAAGGCAAACTAGAATTTGGTTTTGGATCTCGGTTCTTCTAAGTATGTTGATTTTCTCAAACCAATAATTGAATACCTCTGTTATTCGCCACTTTTTCAAGCTCTAATAATCACTTTCACCGACTACTAGGGTTTATAGATACAAAAAACCTCGTCAATCCTGAATAGATTTCCTCTTCAGCTATTATCGAAATGTTCTATCAAATCGGTTATATTGAGAATATAACACTTTTGTCAAAGTTTAGGAAGCCAAATCATCCACCTATTTGGAATGGCCTTTTCACCTTACTATTCAAAAGCTTCTCTGAAAGAATCGCAGGATCAGACAGTACTAGTAAGCTATTCTGCACGATCATCTATGGTTTATACAATGGGATTTACATCGATTACAGTTCAATCCTCTAGGAAAAACCTATTCAAAGTACCATTTATTTAACAAGACATTCAGAGATATCTTGTGTTCGATTTTGGTCATTCATTGTCAAAAGATCCCTTGTTCATCACCAAATTCAATTTCCAAGTGAGTCTATTCTTGCTGCGATACCGATTCTACACACCACCAACTTTATCGTATCTAATCCAACCAAGTTCGATTTTATTGGTTCCATTATGGAAGCTATGCTCATCCATGTTCCTGCTGACAATGTGCTTATTGTTGCATACCGAAAGAAGCCTACGTTTGGGGTTAATTTGATGCCAGAAGATTTGTGAAAAGCACTTGAGGTAGCGAAAACACCCAAAAAGGTATGAAAACGAAAGACGAAAGAAGGACCTTTCGAACCTGCTGCAACTCCGAAGAAGAAAGTAAAGAAGGTTGTCGTAAGCCTAGGTCTCCATCTCCTGCTCAAGAGGATTCCGAATCACACACTCACTCTGATCTACATGATTGTGAGACCATTTACAATGAAACAGAAGAAACTGCGACAACTTCGCAACCCATGATCTTGGAGCCCATTCCTACTCAATCCACCGTGAGAGTATCATCTCCAATTTCCACTTTTACTCCTATGAAGGATGATTGCTTTCAATATCCTTTACCTCCACCTTCTCCTACTGTTACTTCTACACCAATATCTACACCCATCTCCATCGCTCCTTGTCCCAGTGTGTTTCACAACCACAGATCTTTGTTGCTCAATCCACCCCAATGTACACTGATTCGACAGCAACCACAACCACTACCACAAGTTCACCTCCAGTGATTGTCAATGTATCTAAAACGGGGGCAGGTGTTTTTAGTGTTACTATTGGTTTCAACTCCTTCCCATTCACACCTTTAAGGGTTGATGATCCTGATACTGTTTTTTGTGATGATCGGGGCGACTTTCAAGACTTCCACTATAGTCCCTTCACAGTTCACCAGGAGAGTGATGATGACAAGGCACCCATGACGAAAGGACAGTTCAAGAACCCTAATGAAAAGTTGGATACTCTGCTTGAGTCTTCCAAAACATCTTCCAGCAGTGAATACTCCCTTGGTTTTGTCAAAGCGTTAATTTAGACTCTCACCAAGGAACATGCCAAAAGCCTTGATGTATCTACCAAAGCTGTTGAGAACTCATAGAATACAATTAGTGAAATGATCAAAAAAGTATAAAAACTACTTGCAAATATTACTCAATCTATGGAGGATTTCCGAAGTTCCTATGATAAAAACATTGAAGCTGTGAACAAGGTGATTACGAATCTTGGATCCACTCTTCACACTGAGAAAGAGGCTCTCTCCAAAGTCCTTTCGGATCTAAAATTTGATAATGTCGAAATGAATGCCTTTATAGTCTCCAAAATTGAGAGGTTTTAATCTGATCTAGCCTCTGAAAACAAAATTATCGATCAGCTTGGACTCAAAACTAAGAAGACAAAAGTCCTTTCAGAGAGGCTATCTTATACCAACCAACAGCTTGATGATCTTAAATTTAGAAAAAAATGTTCTTAAAGGGTGTGTCGTAGATATCAATATTTACTTGCAGAATCTTGTAGAGACTTGTGACTCATTGCTCGCGGTCTCGGTGCAACAACATTTGGTAGAAAAACTTAAACCAGTCTACTCCATGTTGAATTGTATTGATGGTGTCTCAGAATCAGATGCTCTTCCGAAACAAGGGGTAGAACCTACGAAGACATCTGTTAAAGAACACAAGAATACATCTTGTGATCCAGGTAATCACGAAAAAAAGCCACAGCCAAAATCAAAAGATCCGAACGGTAATGAAGCTTCCGGATCGAAAGGAAAAGGAATATTAGTTGATTCCGATGATGAAGAATAAGAAAATTTGTCTGAAGGGTCAAAGCTCAAAAGAAATAATCGTGACAAAGAGCTTGATGAAACTCAGCGTTTTGCAAAGGAAGTTGAATTAGCAGAAAGGGAAGCTCGTGACACACAAGTCACCCTTAAACTCAGAAGTGTTGGATAAGGTGTCTAAGTCCATAACTATTTCTAGTAAATACTTGACCCGACCCGGCATGGTCCATTTCGGTTGCATGGCACATGCAATTGGATGAACTAAATGAGAGAAATAACACATATGGTTTATTAATAAATTATAAGTTCTAATATATTAATAATATTATTTAATTAGTTTTGATCAAGAATTAATTTAGAATTAATTAAGTGATCAAAAGAATAACTAATTAAATATATGGGTAGATTATGTAAATCTTCCATATCTTATATAGTGGGCTAAAAGGCTCCATGGATTATCAAGTTGGGTTCCACCCATAGGATGCTCCATGGAGTTGACCAATGGATTGAGAAATGAAGAGTCATGTTACATTAGGGTTTTACCTAATGCAACACACTGTATAAGGACCATGTCTCTCCCCAAAATCGGCTACACTAGACAAACAAGAGGGCTTGGCCGATTTTGAGTGTGTTAGTGTATTCTCTCAAGTTTATACTTTGCATTTGGTGTTGCGTGAAACATTTGAGGCATCACACTTGAGGTGCTAGGCTCACAAGGTTTCAAGGAACACTTACAACAACAAGGTATGTAGTTATATCTGTTATTCAAGTTACAATTGTTCCCCATGTATGCTAGATAGGATCATAACCTTTGAAATCAACTTTGCATCATAATTAGACAAACTTAGATCCAAGGTTATTAGGGTTGCATGGACACTTAGGAAGTGTTAGAATGCTCAAAACCCAATAGTGGTATCAGAGCCTTGGCTTGTTTGTTTGTTATTTGTGCTAAATAGTTGAAAAAAGTCGATATTTTTGCAATTTGACTGATGAACTCGCCGAGTTCATGCGAAGACTCGCCGAGTAGGTTCATGCACTCCGCGAGTAGGAGCCTCAGATTGCAGTTTTTCGACTTTAGTTGCTGGAAATGGACTAGAAACATTACCCTAAACTATTTTGGTAGTTGAAAACCTGTTTTAGATGGTGGAGTGTCTTTACTAAGCCATTTACAACAACAAGTTATCAAAATTACAAGTTTTAAATGTATTTTTTGATTCATGAAAGTGTTCATATTCACGTTTTTGATCTTATGATGTTTTAATTATATGTTTTAATGGAGTCCATAACTTGTCCTCAAGTTATGGAAAACCAAAAGTCACTTTGTTTAAAAACCATTAAAAGAACACATGGGTTATAAAAATGAATAGCCTTCATTTTTAATACCCTAATAAACTCATATGTTACAAGAAATAAAAAGTTTTGAAAGTTTACAAAACTTGCCCTCAAGTTTTGGAACAAGTAAAGTCTTGATTAAAACTTTAGTTCCAACCCTTAGAATTTTAAAAGTTAAAATTCAACCCTTATACTTATAATATTATAAGTTAATAATATATATATATATATATATATATACATGTATATATATATATATATATATATATATATATATATATATGTATAAGATCAAAGTCGTCTTACCGCTAGTACGCCTCATTCACGAAGCCGGTCTATAAGGTGGGTATAAGGTTGTTGCCTATAAAATGGCAACTTAATGGGTGTCCACTCTCACCCACCGCTTGCTTGACTGGTGGAGGGTCGTTAACCGAACGGGTAAGACAAAGGCTTATAAATTCTCATTAAAAGTATGATGAATATTATAAAGTAACTAAATGTTTTATTAAATTCCCAATCTTAGTGACTATAGGAAAAATGTGAATAAGGTGCTAATCCATGAAATTACACTTTACACTTTGTCTAAGTCGTTAGTAGAGTGTGTGTGGTTAACAGGCACACTAACATGGACTTAACAAGGTAGGTAAAGGGTGACTTAATATTTTTCATAGTATCGATGGAGCGTGTGTGGTTAACCGACACATCGATTGAGGAGTAATTTATTAAGGGTACCAGTAATTTGCATGGTTACTTCACACCTCTTTTTGTGATCTTCGCCATCCCTGTCACAAAACTTGGATGGCACACTCGAGATTGAAACGTGCCTTTCAAAAGTTCACTGAATCTCAAAAGAATCTAGGAGTTTTTAAGAACCAAATTAAATATTTTTAATATTTCGACTTTGCTATAAATTGGTGAATGGTCATTCACTTACCTTTCAAATATGTTATTACTTAGATTACAGCATAGCTCTTCTAAGTATAATATATTTTGATTGGGTCCTAGCCGTAATACTATATTTGGGTGTTTTATTAAGGACTATCTCTATTTCTAAACTAAACATTTCTTCTTTTCAGATGTCTGCAAACACTGCTGCTTCTAGCTCTAATCCTAATGGCTCCTTTTCTCTTATGAACTTGTGTGGGATGGAAAACCCATCACGGATGAAGGATGGAGAACCCATCACGGGCCACATGCAGAAAATGCAACGATTTGTGGACTGCTTGTTGAAGCTTAATGTGAACTTCCTCAAGGAGCTAGCAATATATATTATTTTGCACTCCTTACCTTCATGTTATGATCAATTCCGCATGACATACCACATGAACAAGGAAGAGGTCACTCTCTGCAAACTTCAACGACTCTTAAAGACCACGGAAAGTGGTCTTAAGTGTAAGGCGGTTATTACTACTCCTACTCCTACCAACTCTGCCCCTGTCTTGGCAATCGGGAAAGGACGAGGGAAGAAGAGAAAGAGTTCTTCGAAGGGTACCAAGTTTAGGACCCTTGATGGCTCTTCTTCAAGTGGAACCAAGAAAGGTTTCATCACTCCTTCTTCTGACCCAAAAGAGGCTAAATGCTTCTATTTCCATGAAAAGGCACATTGGAAGCGGAACTGCCCAAAGTACCAGCAAGATGTGAAGGATGGGAAAGTTAAACCCAAACATGTAGGTATGTACACTATCTTATGTAATAACTAACCCCATTCTAACTCATGGGTCCTTGATACCGGTTGTGGTATTCATATATGTTCTGATTTGTAGGGACTAAGAAGAAGTGAGAATGTGGAGCAAGGAAGGATAAACTTGATCATGGGAAACAGGAAAGCTTCACTTGTCACCAAGATTGGAGTTTATACTTTATCGCTAAGTAGTGGGTTTAGTTAAGATTTGAATAAATGTTGTTACTCTCCAGAAATGGCAAGAAATATTATTTCCTTTCATATATTGTATAAACAAGGTTTCACCTTTTCATTTGATAATGAAGTTGGTTCGATTAATGCTCTCTGTAATAATGTTCTTTATTTTATAGCAGTACCCTGTGATGGCGTGTATGAAACTGTATCTGTGGTTGATAACTTAGGAAATAATGTATTGTGTGTTGATTCTGTTAATAATAGTAACTTGGATAAAGCATCACTATGGCATTGTCGTCTTGGACATGTAGACAAGAAACGCATAGGAAAACTCCAAAAGGATGGAGTCTTGGAGTCATTTGACCTAAAGTATGATGATAGTTGCGAATCATGCTTAATTGGAAAAATAATAAAGTCACCCTTCACAGGTTATTGTGAGAGGGTTGAAGGTGTGTTGGATCTTGTGCACACAGATATGTGTGGACCATTCAAACATGCCACAAGGGATATTAATCGTTATTATTTGACTTTTACATATGATTACAGTAGATATGGATATGTCTACTTAATCAAGCATAAGTCAGAGACATTTGAAAGGTTTTAGGAATTTGAATAGGAAGTCGAGAATCAATTGGGCAGGAACATTAAGATGCTTCGATCCGATCGAGGTGGTGAGTATCTTAGTTCAGAGTTCATCGACTGTCTTAGGGAATGTGGGATTATCTCATAATTGACACCTCCCAGGACACCGCAGTTGAATGGTGTGGCTGAGAGGCGTAATCGAACCTTGTTGGATATGGTTCGTTCCATGATAAGTCGAGCTTCGCTACCAATCTCATTCTGGGGGTATGCCTTAGAGACTACCGCCCATATTCTTAATCTAGTCCTTACAAAGAAAGTTTCCAAAACTCCTCACGAGATGTGGACTGGTAAAGTACCTAAACTAGACCACATCAAGATTTGGGGTTGTAAGGCTTTTGTGAGGCACGAGTCTCATGATAAGCTAGAACCCCGAAGCGAGAGGTGTATTTTCATCGACTACCCACAAAGATCCTTTGGTTACCTCTTCTAGAGACCTAGTGATAATGTGGTCTTTGTAGGGAGAAGAGGAGTTTTTCGAGAGCAAGAATTTATAAGCCAAGGAGACAGAGGGAGGCAAATTGACCTTGAAGAACTTCAAGAGTCAAGCGGTGAAGGAACTTCAAATCCTAGCCCTCAACTTGAGGAGGAAACTCCAGTTGAGCCAATTGACGAGTCTGTACCTCTGAGGCGTTCCACGAGAGTTAAGAATGCACCTGAGCATTACTATGGTTTCCATATTACTGCGGAAGGTGAGACACTTATTAGTGATGAGACACTAATAGGTCTGGATGAACCTAACAGCTACACAAAAGCCATGGCAGGCCCTGAGTTTGCCAAATGGAAAGAGGCTATGGATAGCGAGATACAAACCATGTATGACAATCAAGTTTGGAACTTGGTTGAGAATGTACCAGGTCGTAAGACTGTAGGGTGCAAATGGATCTTCAAGAAGAAGACCGGCATGGATGGTAATGTACACACTTATAAGGCTCGACTGGTTGCAAAGGGCTTCTCTCAACTTCCTGGAGTGGATTATGATGAGACTTTTTCTCCAGTAGCCAAGATTAAGTCTATTAGGGTTATGTTAGCCATAGCTGCATTTCATGACTATGAAATTTTGAAAATGGATGTCAAAACCTCTTTCCTTAACGGAAAGTTGACTGAAGATGTTTACATGAGTCAGTCAGAAGGTTTTGTCAGCAACAAGTACCCTAATAGAGTGTGTAAGCTTGAGAAATACATTTGTGGATTAAAGC